ATTTTAAATAAATAGTTAATAAATAATTTAATGAATTATTAATAAATTTTTAATGAATAGTTTTGATGAATAGTTGACAAATAGTTAATAAATGGTTAATGAATGGTTGACAAATGATTGACTAATGGTTAATGAATGGTTGATGAATAGTTAATGAATAGTTAATGAATAGTTGACAAATAGTTGACAAATGGTTGACAAATGGTTGACAAATTTTTTATGAATAGTTGCAAATATAGTTGATGAATAGTAGACGAACAGTGAATAAATAGTTGATAAATTTTTGATGAAATTTTAATGAATAGTTTTGATTGTTAATTTTTGTAGTTACTGATTTATTTATGTCATTTTTTTTTACCGAATTGTTTATTTTTTGTCGAATGTTATACAAGTGGTAGTATTTTTGCTAAATATTACATGAGTGGCAATATGCCAAATAATTTTTTTTTTGACTAGTGATACAAAAGTACTTTAAGTCAAATTTTGGGAACAATATTTCACTCCCTAATAGATTGGCAATAACCTCTATCTACTGTATCAGAATCATTATCAACAATTTGTCACTGTTGATTGCCCAAAAATCAATGAATTGCTAAATTAAAAAAGGGAAAAAGAAAAAATGATTGAGAAAAGGGAACAATTCAGGTCCACCAAAAAATTCAAAAAGAAAAACAACCTCTTTTCAAAAGGAATCCGCCTGATTGAAATAGTCTTTTTGCTTCACTTGAATCTCAGAAGAAATTTTTTTTTTATCACTTGTGACATCGGACAAGTCAATCCAACTGATCTTTTATTTAAATAAGCACTGGATTGGGATATCTCAAGGAAAACATTTAGATCTCAGCTTTTTTCTATTAAAGCTTTGTCACTACTTAAGGAACTTAGATAAGAGATGGAAGTTTGCAATCCATATTATCTATTACTTAATCTTTTGGTGTTATGAAAGTTTTCATTGAGAGACTTGAGCTTTTTGGAGGCAACCATTTCCAGAACCTTTTTTTCAATCACCAATAATATTATCAGAACATGTGAATATGATTAATAGGAGCTTGTTTACATTCTAAAAACTAATATGTTTCATGTCAGCCAATTACCTTTGATGAGAATTTGTGTTATCAAAAATTTAGGGTCAAACTGAGGTAGGTAAAATTTTCCAGAAAACTATAAAAGTGATAGCTTTAAGAGGTCTACAAGTGACTGAAAGGGGAAAAATAAGTCTTTTTGTCATTAAAAATCTCTATATACCTCTCACTTCAAAAGTTAAATAGATTTTCAGATACTTCACAGTCAGTTCTTCTTTCTTTGATAACTTTCTTGCTGTTGGTATTAAAGGTGTTATTTGACTTTTCTTGATCACTAGAAGTCAAGTTTTTGAGTAAAGAGATTTGTAAACAAAAGGGAAAGGGTAGAAGTGACTCTTGAAGTCATATTTCAAGTTGTTTTAATGAAAGTATTAAGACTTTATTAATAAAAAAGTATAGAAACTTCTTGCAAACATCTTTTTTGTATATGATCAGAGAATCAATAGAAAGAGTTTTTTAAATATATATTAATATATTACTTAACAATATTACTATTATTTATCTCAAGAAGAATAAAAATAAAACTACTTTCTTATTTTACTTAGCTTTCAAAATTTTACTAAAAATTATAATCAGCTTATTTCTCTTCAAAAGATCAGCATAAGTTAATTATACATTATTACAAAAGATCCATGGTCTAAAACCCAATTAAACTGATTTTTAGGTTCTTACAGAGCATCTATTATATACTCAATAGTATAACTAGTAGCTAGATATTATTTACTACATGAGTTTTCAGAATTTGTATAGCAGGCAACTATAATTATTCCTATAATGATTATTAATGTTAGTTTATAACTAGATAGTTTGGATAAAGTCATACATTCAATGCCAGCTCGCAAAAAAAAAAAAAAAAACAGGTTTATATATAAATTCTTAAATATTTTTCAAATACTTTATATAAGATATGAAGAATTTGTAAAAATACAATTTTCCAATTATCATAATGAATGGTTAAGAAAAAAAGCATTGTTTTTTATTATTACCCGTGCACATTGCATAGATCTAGTTTATTATAAATATGGGTGATTGCAATTATTACCTTGTACTTTTCATGGTTGCCATTCGACGGTTAAGGAGTATATTGTTTAAAGAAATTTTCATTTCAAGGAATTAAGGTTTTTCTTTTTTTTTTGTTTGTATACTAATTGACCATCCGAAATTATGGGTTAATACTCGAATAATTACACAATAGCTGAAGCCCGTTGATATAAACTCAATGATATTGTTGAAGTGTCTATGTCTAAATGATTGTATCGAAAAAATAAATAAAGCCAATATGACAACTAATAATTTAAATTTGGCGAGCAATAAAAACAATTATCCTTCGTTACATATTATATACTGTATATTCTACCAGCTTTTCCATTCATCCTCCCATCCATCATCTTTTTTTAAGTCAGACTTTCCATTTTTTCTTCGTGTAGCCGAATTACCCAACGATTTTGGAGAGGCTGAACGCGTGTTAGAACCATTATTGAGCGGCATGGGAGAATTACTCCTACTATCTGTAGGAGAATTCCTTTGTTGATAATGATTGATCGTGTCCGAAAAGAAGTCACTGTCGTTATTGTAGGAATACCCAGAGTTATTGGAATTATTGTCCGCTATTGTTCCGTAATTCGATCGAACGAGAGATGATGTCGCAGTCGATGAAATGCTAGAGATGGTTGACATCCCGCGTGAAGCAGTTTCGGTTACCTAATGAAGATTCCTGGAATTTAATAATGAATATGATGTATAAGACCATAACAGGATAAAAAACATACCGTTTTACCAATTCCTGACACATAATCAGAGAGCTGTTGCGTGAATTCTGGATCCCTAACTTTTTCGGCTGTTGGTTTTATCACGTGCTCGTTTACTGTTTGTCCCAAGGTTTCCGCGCCCTGTGCCGCTAATTTCGCACCCTCTACAACGTGATGTCCAAGAAAGTTTAACCCCTTTGTCAAAGCGCCAACTGGATTATTCATCAATTCTTCTAAGTCAGGAACCGAGGATGATGATGAAGGTGGAGTATCTATAAACGCAGGATTGCCAAAACCAGTATATCTACCACCTTGACTTGGTGGAAGAGTTTCCGAACGAGTCTCATTGGTACGCCCAAGGCTTGCAAAATATGCCTCATTACGTGACTTATCAGATGATAGACTATTACCATTATCTGGGATCGATCCATTAGACTGATATGACTGATAAGAAGAGGGAACTACGGAATTTACGTGACTCGTTGATTGAACTGAAGAGCGCTTGCTGTTGGCTGAAGAAGGACGACTCGAGGTTCGGCTAGATGATGATCTTGAAGGCGTCCACTTTTTGCCTTCACATAATGCTGTTAGCTTTATGTTTAACAAATAATAATTTTTTACTATTAACCTGAATAAATTTAAAGTGAAAAAAAGAAAAAAAAATTTTTTTTAAAAACCTTTTCACGGTAGGAGGCTGCAAAGCTACTATTATATTTATCTTTCAAAGACATTTCTGGATAGTAATCGGGAGAAGCCTCATAAAATTCTCGCCATTCAGTGTTTCCACCAAGCTAATGTGAGATAGAATGGTGCATCAGTTTTTTTCCGAAACAATACTACAACCTAAGCTTTCGAAAAGGTGCTGTTGACGCCAGTTAACTTACTTTCATTTTTTTTATTTGGTCGTCATACCATTTATCCATTGTAATAGAACGAACAAAACTTTACGAATGAAATAAGGATGTAGTTACTTAGGTTTGATAGTGTTGGATTGTCACCCGTTAGAAAGTATCAACTGAAACCTTCACGGCTAAATAATAACTTCTAACATTCGAGTAAACCCTTACAAACCTAACATGAACTCCAAATGAACGATGGATACCAGAACATTCTAGGCAAATAAAGATGCCAAAGGAAACCGAAGCCCACTGAGGATTTGGCGCACCACAATCTACACAGTTCTATCAATCAAAGGGAGATTATGTGGAAGGTGTAAGCGCGATAATTACATGACTGAAAGAAAGAATAGAAGCATAATACTTACCCTGTTACCATTCTGCTTCTGTATGTCGTATAATACTTGCTTGTATTCAGCCGCCATGTTTCTTTGATTGTTGGGTTAAATAATAATAATTTTCTAGTCTGCTCCAAATATAGTGGTGAAATTGACACGTGTTAAACTTTTAAAACACGTGAGACATGTTTTCTAAACGGGGAAAAAAGAATAAATGAAAAAATATGTATGTAAAGTGCAAGATAAAATGTCTGAAGCTTTTCTACACCCGAAGATTTATAACATCGCCGAGCGCAGGAATTATACGCCGAATTTTACAGCCACTGATTATGATATTAATTTTTTGCACCGAGGAACACCATTAGTTATTGACAATGGTATAGTATGAGATATGTTATATCGTTATTATCAGACTCTTCCGAGAATATTTTCTCGCGGAAAATTCACTATCGAGAGTTTCTTTGGAATAATTGATTTGAAGGGATAAATACAGTTTTAAGCAAAAAAAAAAGAAAGAAAAAAAACGCGTATATCTATTCAATTACTATTGCCCAGTAATATTCAGTAAATCAATTTGTTTGACATTTCTGTTAGGATCATATCAATGTCGAGTTGGATGGGCTACCGAATCATCCCCTACACGTAAGTCTATTAAACATTAAAACCTTTTATCCTTCTTCATAGTGATCGATAATTCTAACTTTTTTTAAGTACAATTCGACAACCTGGTGTCAAAATACAGAGATCGCAAATTAAATCAAAGCATGTTGATAATTGGCAACGACATTTATACGGATGCGACGGCAAAGACAAACGCAAAATCTGCTTTCGACGGAAATGTCGTGTATAACTTTGAGACCATGGTAAATGAAATACTCGTCGTCATATATTGTGAAATACATTAAATTGACTTCTATTTACTATTAAATTTACAGGAGTACACGTTAGATTATATATTCGTAAAACTTGGAATAAATACTGAAACAATAGATCATCCAATTCTAATGACCGAACCTATATGTAATCCAAGTCACTCAAGAAAATGTAAGATAATATCGTTATATATATATATATATAATATCCAAGGTTTTATTAACATTCCTTGTCTCGTAGTGATGTCCGAGCTATTGTTCGAATGCTACCGTGTACCTTCAGTGTGCTACGGTATTGACGCACTCTTTAGTTACCATGCGAACGGTCTGTCACTTGACGGGGGGGTTATCATATCATCTGGTCATACTACTACTCATGTTATACCTGTGGTCGGTGGTCGCGGAGTTTTGGAACAAACTAAAAGGTATTTCTCATGTTCTATAATATTTTGGTCGCCTCCAATAGAATCTTAATTAAACTCCCAACATATAAATAGGATATCCTACGGCGGGCTGACATCCACTGATTACATGTTAAAGTTGATGCAACTTAAATATCCAACTTTTCCAACAAAGATGACCGTTAATCAAGCGCAAGTTGGTGATTTTTATTGTGTTCCACATTATCCGATTCTTAGTTAAAGGATATTCAAATTTTAATATATGTTAACATCGCTTCGTTACTACCTTTTATCTCTACGATAGTATCTCGTGCACAATTACACCTATGTGGCGGCGGATTATTTTTCGGAACTGAAGGAATATTCGAACCCAAAATCATTTGCCGAAAGAGATCGAATAATCCAATTTCCTTATGTCCCACCGGTGAGTAAAAAAACTTCTCATTAGTCAATCCGACTACTATTCATCGGTTAAACTATATTTATATTATTGCACTGTAATAGGCAAACGAAAAAACTGAAGAAGAATTGGCCAGAGCAGAAGAAAGGAAACAAGAACAAGCACGTCGATTAAAGGAGCAGGCAGCCAGATTGCGAGAGAAAAAGGTGAATAAGATATTTATTAGAAGTATTGACATCCATTGAATTTCTTTTTTTTTTACTGTTTGATCTTATTTTATTAGCTGAAAGATCTTGAAGACAACTTGGCCGCCTATATGGAACTAAAATCAAGCAAATCATCGCTCAAAAAATCGGAGTTTGTAGTATGTCTTCAGTAGGGTTTTATCTTTAGGCAATTATTCTTCATATTCTGACACAAGGCTCTGGAAAACAGGCGAGACTAAAAGAAAACAGGATAAGCGACGAGGCTGAACTAGATGATTTAATTCAAAAGACCGAGAAAGCAGTTCAACGAGCAAGGAATAAATTATTGGGTATCGATGAAGTTGAGATAAAGGTATTACCGTTTGATTCTGCGTTTTCGATGAACGTCTTGGATCGATCTCATGCGTATGCGCATATACATCAATTGATTTTAGGAAGAGCCTACATTTCCATTAGTCGACATACCAGACGATCAATTAAATGATGCCGAGAAGAAAGAGAAGAAAAAACAAATATCAGCAAAAAGTCTCCACGAGTCGCGACAAAGACAGAGAGAGGCCAAAGAATTGATTAGACGACAGCATGTAAATTCTCAGGATTTCTAAGATTTTTCTCCTTGGTTTTTTTATGCAAAGGTTGAAGCTTCGTTTATTCTATTATAGGAAGCGGAGGAAAGGATGGAAGAGCAAAAGCGGCAAGCGGACTTCGAAGGCTGGCTAAACGAACTGAAGCGCAATTATCAGGTAATTCAAGAACCTTAATATGCCATGATGCATATATTTAATGACAAAATATTATTGGGTTAAACAGGCTCAGCTAGACAAAGTAAAAAGTCTAAAACGGAAAAAGGAACAGCTTTCGGATCGAAGGAGTCACGCCTCTCAACTTCGAATGAAATCGATAGCAAACCTGGCGAGTGATACCCCACAACAGAAGAGGAGGAGGAGAGGTCAGGATGGTTAGTATTTTATTTATTATTTTGATAATGTTGGAAATCTATGAATCAAGTTACTTAAATCAAATTTCCACTAGAAGATACGTTTGGAATGGATGATAACGACTGGTCAATTTACAAAGAGATTGTAAGTTTTTGTAAATAATTTTCGTACGCTTTCGCATTCCCTATCCTTAACATCATTATATAAAAATATCAGAGTAAGGAAGAGGACGCGTGGGAAGAGGAAGAGGAGCTTTCTCAATTAAAGGAATATGAGACGAAACTTCTTCGGTACGACCCAACATTCTTACCAGAGCATACATTTGATGCAAAGAATTCTATCAAAAACTCGCTTGTATTCATGTTCACGCACGGAATTGCACCACAATATGACCCGGAGGATTTTGCGCAAATACATCAATTGCATGTTAATATCGAGAGAATAAGGGTCCCAGAAGCATTATTTCAACCTAGTATATTGGGACTTGATCAAGCCGGAATTGTGGAAACTTTTGGGGATATTATCAGTAGGTTTGACGAAGAACAGAGAAAGAATATGGTTCAAGTGAGTTTTTTATTTTTATTTTTTCTTTATATTTCTCATTTCAAGACCATAGATGAATTGATATTTCTTTTCCGACAATAGTCCGTATTTGTTACTGGAGGACATACTCGGACTCCGGGATTATTAAATAGAATGAATATTTCACTTCGATCAATTCTACCCGCTGGATCACCTCTCAAGATAATTCATGCAAAAGATCCAACACTTGATGCATGGCGTGGCGCAGCGATGTGGGCAAGAACGAATGATTTTAAAAACTACGTTGTTACATCCGAAATGTACAGAGAATGCGGGGGGGAATATTTGAAAGAACATAGATTCGGAAATGTTTATAAAATATGATTTGTCCATTATAAAGAATATTTGAAAATAAATTTAAACATATGTCACTGTACAGTTATAATCTCGTCTATTTGTTATTCAGTATAATCCCCGTTCTTTAATCCATTTCCTAGTTCCATTTTGGAATGCGCTCAATTTTTAAAGAAATTATATTTAACTAGTAGTAATTGACTTGTATATATAAAAACCTGATGAAATAACAAAAAAAAATTTTTTACAATAATCCATTAAGTCAAGCTAGTTTATTTCTTTGTCAATATATAGGCCGATTTTGTTTTGTGCCTCTTCCCAAGTATCTTCTCTTATTTTACTTGTAGCTAAACATTTAAAACTAGTTTGTTCTTTATTTGTAAAAAAAAAAATTTTTTTTAAGTGTCATATTTTTTTTTTTTTGCTAGTTCACAATTATACTATAATAGCTTTAAAAAATTAAATTAAAATTTACAACAATTACAGATTTTCACAAAGTAACTAACTCATCTTTACATATAAGTACTCTAAGTTAAATTTTGAAAACAATATTATGTTTTCCTAATACAATTGGATTAATTACTATCTATAATAATTATTATCAATTATTTGTCATTGTTAATTGATTTAATAAAAAAATGAATAGTTAAGTTAGGAAAAAAGAAAAAATACAAATAGGAAAAGGAAATAATTTAAGATCTAATCAAAAAAGTCTAGAAACAAAATTAATTTTCTTTCAAAAGAATTACCTGATTGAAATAGTCTTCTTGTTTCACTTGAACCTTAAAAATTTTCTTTTTTTCATTATCTATAGCTAATTTTTTTTTTTTTTTTTTAACTAGTCCAACTGATAGAATGAATCTTTATTTGAGAAATCAGTAGTACATTTTTCGGATTACATGAGCAATTCATATAACCTTATTTTTAACTACCTATTCTAACCAAAGTTTGTAAATTTTACCATGTTAGAAATATCATTTTTGTCAGTTACCCTGCTCTGCCCAGGACTATAGCATTCCGAAAAGTTACTATGGACTTCTTATTGTTAATCTTCAAGGGGCGGTATTGTGTGTTCCTTAGTAAGGTCTTGTTTACTACTTGATATTTGTAGGTTCCATAGACAATCCCTGCTATGTTTGGGTCCTCTGTAAGCTAGTCGAAACTTAGATGGCGCAAATCTCTGGTTTTATTCTTGATATTTAAGTGATTTAATGGTGTTATGTAATTGGGTGACATATAGCCTTCTATTGCCTCATTTTTAACCACTCTTGTAAGTTGGCCTTACAGGGATTTCTCTTGGTTACTTCATAGTGGATTGCTCCTCCCATTGGATTGGTTATCTTAGTGATTGTTTCCGAATTTCTTCTCCCAGGGTCTACCCCTGTAGGTTGCCCAATGTGATGTTAAAGCTAACCACCAGCCTCCACAATAGTTGTTCTCTTTGGTAATCATTAATTTTGCGATCATAAAGATTTCACATTAATTATTGTTATGGCCCGTTACATTTCAACAGATACAAACGACCGAAGTTTTCCTTATCTCCTATAGGGTGTAGTTTTGACAGAGATGGATGTTCTTCCCATTTTTGTTATAAGGCTTGAACTGATCGATATTCTTCCTGATTTATCTTGGATCCATACATATTCCAGGCAACAGTTTTATCAAAGATTTCCTTAGCACTAAAACCGGCCAAGGCTTGGATGACCTGAGTTTTAACATCATGGTCGGACGGTAGAAATCTATAGGTTATTTGTGAGTATAAGGATGCATGTAGTGATGAGCATACATCTTGTACAACATAACCTATATATTGTGAAAACTGTTCCTAGATGGGATTGAACTAGTAACTCACAGATGATGACCTGAAAGTGCACCCACTGCACTATTGACCCACAGGTTCAATTATATGTAGCTAATAATAGGTCCTTAAAGTATTTAATATATAAATTTTCACAGATCACTTATGTTCCTTTTTGAGAGACAAAATTCATAGTTCTTCACTTTAATAGAAACAAAAGTCAGGAAATACTATAAATCAATGATTTAGATAATAAAGAACAATTGTGGATAGTTTTTTTATAATTATTAATTTAAAATTTTAATGTTTTCTAGTAAGGAACATTTGACCTTTATCTTTGCCTTCTCCTTAAGAACCCATTTTTATCTGTAGTATAAGATGAATCAATTTAACTGATTCTTTATTTATGCAAATATCAAATTAAGATATCTTAAAGAAAATATTTAAATTTTAATTTTTATTTATTAAATATTTATTATTATTTAAGATACTTAAGTAAGAAATAAAAATTTAAAATTTATATTATTTATCTCTTAATTTTTTAATATTATAAATATTTTTATAGTATTAAGGAACTTGAGCTTCTAAAAGCAAATATTTCTAAAATATTTTTTTTAATCATCAATAATATTATCTGAACTTGTAAATGCAATTAATAAAAGCTTGTTTAAATTCTAAAAATTAATATATTTTATATTAATTATTATCTTTAATAAGAATCTATGATATCTAAAATTCAGGATTAAATTGAAATAGATAAAATTTCTTAAATAATTATGAAAATAAAAGCTTTAAAAAAATCAAAAAAAAAAAAAAATAAGTTTTTTTATTATATAAAATCTTTATAAATCTCTTGCTTCAAAGACTAAAAAGATTTTTATATACTTTATAATTCGTTTTTCTTTCTTCGAAAACCTTTTTGTTATTGGTATCAAAGATATTACTTGATTTTTCTTGATTACTAAAAGTTAAATTTTTAAATAAAGAGATTTATAAATATATAATAAGAATAAAACCAATTCTTAAAGTTATATTTCAAGTTGTTTTAATGAAAACATTAAGACTTTTTTAACAAAGAAATATAAAAACTTCTTATTAATATTTTTTTAAGTATAATTAAAGAATCAGTAAAGAGTTATTTATATTATTTATAGATTTACAAATTACTAAAAAATTATAATATAAAAACTATCTATTTATACATTTCAATCTATGTTTAACTTAATTAAAATAAAAAAAAAATTATATTATTTAATATAAATATTCTTTTTTATTAGTATTATAATTAATTTTTTTTTATAATACTTGTAATTAAATTAAATTATAGTTTATTAATCAATTGAAAACATATGTATATTTTTATTCAAATGGTATAATATATATTATAGCTAATGATAGTTAATCTCTAGTTTTTTTAAAATTTTCTTTTTTTGATAATTTTCTTGAAAAACAAAAGAAGTCAGTCACAACACAAAGAGAAACTTTTAACAAAACCAACAAAGTAATAAGAAATAATTATATAGAATCAGTTTTTTAGTTTATCTAATCTTTTAATAACAAGAAGTAAAAAAGTACAAGTACACTTTAGCCATACTTTATAGAAGAAAGAAAAAATTAAGAAAACTGATTTACAATAAGCTTTTTGAAACTCAATCTCAACTTCTCAAATTTTTAGCCAGGTCAATACAAGTTAATACCTTTCTTGACACCAAGAGAAGTTTTGTAAACAATAGATCAAATCAATAAATCAGTTCATATTCAAGGTTTATAATACCTAGGAGAATGTTTAAGTCTTTTTACTAAACAATAAAGAGCATCAAAATATTATAACAACAATACTGTACATAATAATCATTATATTATGCAAAACACAAACACATTATTCAAAAATACAATAACTTGTTTATATATCAAATAGATAATCTGATCAGAACATAATTAACTCTTCAATTTTACATGTTTTACTTAACTGTTTTGATAAACAATACCGATCAACTGGAATTAAAAGTAAATAATAATGCATATCTAATCAAAGTAAACAACAATATATGTCTAATCAAAATATAATACTATACAAAAGTAAACAATAATATATGATTGATCAAAATAAACAATATATATTTGATCAAAACACAATATTATACAAAAGTAAATATATTTTTTTGTGATATGTAATTCAATATGACTATAAAAAAACATAAGTTAATGCAAATTATGAAGAAAAGAGAAATACATATTATAGATACACTGGTCCAATTATCAAACAAATATGATTAACAACAAATACTATGAGCTACACAAACTATTCACTGTATAATATCTACTACAGATAATATCTCAAATAGGGTTCAAGGACCAAGCAGATACTTGATCCTAAATAATATCATTGCTAGGATTCTAAATATTGATCAAATTATATTTATTAGGGTCACAGTTTTCAAACAACATATTCTATATTTATGGATCTAGGAACAAGGCAAAGAAGAAAACCTTTTAGTCCCCTTCCTGAAGAACAAGTACAAGTGCTTTGATATAATAAACCAAAAAGATAAATTATAACAAGCTTCTTATACCTCTTTAAAAGAGTAACCAGTGATAACAAATCTATATGCAATCAAAAATCTTCCAGAAAAGGGAATAGATATGGAAGTTTAACTAATAATAACAATATGAATTTCCTTTAATGTCAAAATTGAAATGGAAGAAAAGGCAATAGAAGATTAGATCAAAATAGAAAAAATTATTGAAAAAATTAAAGGAGATAATATTGTAGAGCAGTTTGTATATTTTACAATAAATAAATAAAAAACATCTAGCTTAAATTCCTTTCATATCAAAAAAGATGGTAAATATAAAAAGAAGTATTTATGGTTAGACTCTTAAGAAAATCAGAACATAAACAAGTGATATATCTCTAAAACATATTGAGACTATCAAAAGATTCAAAGCCTTTCAAAAAATAGTTTCTCAATAGCAATGTCTAGATAATCTTCTATTGTGAAGAAGATGATGATACTTTGCAGTATCTAGAAAAGACCAACAAAAAAGAGAGAAAAAACTTTACAGTCATACTCCTAAAAATAGAAAAATAGATAAATGTTTCATACCTTATATATAAGAAAATCTTTTAGTAGAAGAAAAAGAAGAACAAGAGATTTTTAATAGTAACTTTCATTAATATTGATCAAAGTTACTCAAGACATGAGATCAAATTTGTTCTTTAAAGATATGA